CGAAACGGTGTAGATACTTAGGACTGCAGGTTATTTACTGTTTTACTCATTTAAATAGATGTACGAGCATAATTAAACAATATATGAAGTGTTATGTAATACGCGATAAGTAAAACTTGGATTATTTTTATTATCAACCCGTGTGGATCTACCGTAGGACATGGGCCTCTTTCGTTGTGCGGAGATCTATGTCTAGCAGTGGATTTTTCAGACGCCTCGCTGCTATGTACTTGAATTATTTAAAAAGTATATAAAAACTGTATTTAATCCGGTTAAAAATTATATATAAGTACGGTACCAACATGAAAATTTACTCATTCGATAAAAACTGTAAAATTGGTTAACTGACTTTGGATATATCGTGTAAAAACGTAAATAAAAAACACGAAGCATTAACCTCCATTTTATTTGCTGTCGGTTAAAAGAAAAAACATTCATTACTTTTAATGTACACAAATTTTTAACGACTGCTTGATCTGGTTTTAGCACCTGACTCCTACATCGCAGGTTTAATTTTATGCCTGGGCTGGGCTACCTTCAATCTTTACTCAAAATTTCGGGAAAAGAACTGCGGCATCAATATCTCAAGCATGCAAGATCCTCCGTAACTATTGGTGTTACAAAGCACTCAAAATTTCACAAAAAATTGATTTATATTCAATATATTTTTGTTTACGTTACCACTACCATTGCATCATATCAAAAGTCCACTCTTGACCACAGGTCTACCCCATAGATTGCCTGATATAATTTTGCCATAGTTGCCTCGCTTGGTAGGCTGGTTGGCAACCGAAATGTTTTTTGTCCATCTCTTGTTTCAGTTTCCCTCTGTCGCATCTTACGACTTCCACTTCACAATATGGAGTAGTGGATATTCTTTAACCGCTGATGCTTTTGTTTACGTAATCGTATTTATTACGCTAAGACCACGTGGCAGTATATTATGGATGTAACACGTATTGGTCGGTTCGACCTTGGAAGGAACACGATCTCAATGAATACCAGCGTGCAATAGCAGCATAATGTGATGTGACGTAAGAGACCCTCAAGAAAGACAACGTCTTTCATTTTGAAATCATTTTGATTCTTAGTCGAATTCTTAGTGTAGATGTAGGTATCTGTGGGTTATAGTATCCACTTGAAAATGAAATGTATGCTAGTTTGTCAGTCTTATTTCTATTAATATATGACGTTCACGTAAAGCGGGTTAGTGAGTTACTCCAACCACTATGTGATGGGGGTATAGTCAAAATACTATTAAAATATTACCTTAATCTATGTTGACTACTTTCACCCAGAGAACACTTACTCATTTGCTCATCCAGGCATAAAATAGTTACTTAATATAATTTATCTACCTCATGATTAATGGAGGCAAATTCATCTAAATATGCCGCATTTAAATTCCACATAAAATCACAGTGGCGATGTGTCTTCTCGTCCCTGATAAAATAACTTTCAATTTGTGACAAAAAGAACCCATATGGTCTATGAAACAATAGCCAATAAACGCGTCTGCATTGTGATTCTTAATTGAAGAACGGCCATCCAGGATGGTATATTCCCTGATGGTTTTTTTATAGAATGAGGGTGCTAAACGAGCACAAAGTCGACCTGATGTTAAGTGGTTGCTGTGGCCCATAGACATCTACATATATCCTCGATTACGAATCAAAATGCACCTCCGATGTCACCCCTGAAGACTGAGATGCCATGCATCGTTTCCAGTAAAAAGGATCTACGGTTCTCTACACACAGCATACCAAACACAGCAGCATAGAGCTGCTATTTTACGCTGGTATTCTGTGAGAGCGTGGCCCTACTTCGAACGAGCCCACCCATTCGTACTGCAACCACAATATCGCTCTACCACGTAAAAATAAAAATAAAATCTTCACAGACCAGTTACGGGGAGCAATGCAGCAATGTTACTAGTGCAAGAGTACCAACTATGTGCAAATTATTCCGCCTGCTCAGCAGTGCAGTTAGCACATTTATAGAAAGACCTAAGTCCAGAGGAATTAAAAAGGCTGACAATTCATGACTATGCTACTAGATTAAACATTTTACGAGTAATTTTTAAAGATAATTTTTGAAACAATATCGATATTAGACATCACTTTACTGCGTCTATTTTTGATACTAGTGATGCGTTGTTCTATATCAACTGACCTATTAATTTGTAGGTCGCAATATTATTAAGCAGTTTTTGTATTGGGCTTATAGTACCTACCTATTTATTAAATAAATAATGATGAAAGATAGAGACATTTGTTTGACATATCATACATATGTAATCATAATATTATGACTATTGGACTTCTTTCTGCATAGGAGTCTGTCTGGGTATTTACCATAGTACTAGCCATTTTACTACCAAAAAGCAGTGTCTGCACTGCTATGTCCAAGTATGAAGTGTATAGAGATAGATAGAGCCAGTAAAATTACAAACTGTGATGCATTCCATGTTAGTCCTTAGAGGTTACAGGTTGATATATTTTACAAACATGTTTTGCGTTTATGCTTTGTACATAATATGTGTGTGAACTTCTATTAGAAAAAAAAAACTAATAAAACAAGAAAATGTTTCTTTAAAATTCTGTCATATATTTGACGCAAACAAAAATAAATAAAATTCAACTTTATTCACAATAAGAATCTAAGAAATTAAATTATTATACTACCAACTACAGCAGCCGAGGTTATTTCTTAAAATTAATTACAGAGAAAATCAAAATCGGAATTCAACCATTGTTACGAAAACTATTACTATGTGCTATTTATTACCATACATTCGAAATTCCACATCATGATAAATTCGCATTCCAATTCCATTTGGATCGTTTAGCTAAATAATTAAAATATACAAATGCAAAACATACTTCAAAACAAAAAAAGAAATAAAATAATTCAATTATTAAAAACACAAAAATTATTTTTAATATTAAAAAAATATGCTTTAAGAATGCAAAGCTATGATTTTAAAAACTATTAAGTGAAAATTATTTAACTTTTTATGTGTGAGTAATTGGTGTATATACATAAAAAAATCGTACGCGTCGAATATAGAGCCTTTTCGTTTTTGGAGCTCGTTTAAAAACCTACTGCACTGACTTTACAAAACATAAAAGAAATAAAACTGACGACACTGGCCGCCTACAATTATCACTAAGAAAATTATCCGTTTTATAGGAATACAAAGGACAAAGGACTGTTTGAACTTCGAACATTATCTCCGGATGCACTTCATAAAAGTAAATTAAAAGAAACGAACACCAAATTGCATTGTGCCAATTCATTTCTTATCGGCATCACCTCTATGCGTAAGAAATAGGTCGATGTCCGCATCGATGTACAATTAACTATTCAGAGGCGTCAAAATAAATGTCTGTAGGCACTAAATGTTTCCTGAGTAAGTAATAAATAATAAATAACTAAATAATAAAATGTAACATTTTATGTTCGCTATCACGTAACATATTATAGGAAACGCTACACGCTTACAAATAAAATATGTGTCACAGATTAAAAGGCCTTAAACTTAAACATGAATAAAGACTTAATAACTTGACCACAACGGCACCTATCTACGGTGTCGAGATTTTCTTTTTATGCATAATATAATATATTATTAATGTAAGTAATAATATAGAATTTGTTAATAAATTTTCTACAGCGCCACCTATGAGAGCCTAGTATAGCTAGAACCATCGTCTCGATAACAAATAATATATTGTGTGAATATGACCTTAATCGCTTTGGGCATTCAGAAGTTACACGATTACTAATAGACGATGACCAAAGACGAACTTTTTAGACTCTAAAAATACCACAATCCCACCTATTTGCAGATCTGTGTTATAATACAATAAAAACAAAGCTCGTTCTTAAACTATTTAGCTAGAAAGAAGCAAAAAAGAAACTGAGCAAAACAGCTGATTAATTATTATAATTAAACAACAATCCCCACATATTGTAGTAATTATTCAATGTACTAATACCAAATTCAAGCTTACTAATAACAAAAACACCATGAACCTTATCTGTACGACAATACACTACTAACATCTCTGTCAAATCAATGACCATTTACTATCAAGTGAACTGTAAACAAATGACCGTAGGTATTTTGTTATTCTAATAATTCATTCACTATCGTAATAAACCGATGCATTTTATCGAGAACGCTTTAATGTACCAAGTCATCTATCGTCCGCTGTCTTCCCAGTAATCCGTCACGTTATCACTCTCTTCCCTTTGTCTTAGACTACATCGTTTTTTTTTGGAAGTATCTAATGTGTTACCTGCCTTATATTCAACAACAATCAAGCTAAATAAGTCATTCAATTTTCGAATGCATTTTCTGACCTGCGAGTAACCTATTTCCACCTGTGGTCTAGACAGTTCGAAGGAGTTTATCGTAATGCAAGTTCGCAATTATTAAAAAATAAGGCAGCAGCATTACTGTCTCTTCTGTTTATACTTTTGTTTTAATCTATGCATTATTCGCGATTTACGATTACATAAATTGCTTCGAGTGCTCTAATCGTAGATAACACGTAACAATCGACGCATTTCTTTTCATTAAATTTATCAACAAAACTGATATCGAGTAAGAAGCAATGTAGATAGTGTAATAATAATACAAATTACATTTTAAATTATGACTTTCAGGTTTCAGTTCTTATGAGATCTGGTAATCAAATTATTTTTAAAGTTTCAAACTCGTGTACACGTTAACGATGAATTTACTGACCTAGATTTTTTATTACCTGTCTTATTTAGTCCCACCTTATTTCGAATTGGGTTAACACTTTATCTTTTTAATATTTTAGAACACGTTTTTGAAATTAGAATGTATATACTCGTACTCTCTGATTTTAAAAACGTGTTCCAAAATTTGAATTTATCTTACTTAAATCCTTAACGAGGTATTCGAGGTATTCGGAATTCCACATTTATTTTTATAATATGATTTACGATATTTCTCATCTTTCTAGGAAACAATTATTGGTGCTCTTCGCGCTAATGTGCATGGCGACAGCCTACTGGGGACCGGACTTACCTCCGGGTCCTTACTGCGGTAGGACGAGAGAATGTTGTAATGACCGAAAAGACTCCTGTGCACATCAGATATTGAGTAAGTATTTAAAAAAGGCACTCTACGTAATGACTCTATTTACGAATCTGCTATTGAAAACTCAGAAATTGTACAAGGTGTGCCAAATTGCCAAATTACACGCCAACTGTGTTGACGGCTCAGTAGCGCACGAGCTAGGAATAATATGCCGCTAAAAAATCTACTAAACCTACATACTCACTAAAGATTTATAATAACCCCTGGGAATTCGCTACAATGTTGTTTCTCAAGTTTTTCATACTTAATTGTATATAACATTATATTTTTTGCTAGTTCTTTCCAGGATAGAGATATTTTCCAAAACCAGTGGTAAAACTAAAATGACTCGCAATAAGTCATCATCATCATCATTACAGACATTCACAAGTCACTGCTCCACATAGGCCTCCCCCAAGAAATGCCACTAAGCACGGTCCTGAGCGATAAGTAATCTTCTACAAATATTGAATACAAATTATTGTAATCTATTATACGAGTGCAACGCTGCGGGCTGCGGGTTTATACCTCACACGGAATGAATGTTTGTGTAGCCTATAGATGGATGTTCCGGGTCTGGATACAGGAGAAAATCCTAATGTGGGTGCCGCTTTAAAGAACTAACTACTCTATCAACTATGTTTCTTTTTGACAACGTAAACGGAACCTGCTTTAGTACGGGCTTGCTAAATAATCTAAGGGGCTTGCCTATTGAGGCATTCTACGCTCTCTCGTAATATAACAATTTGTAATTTAATAAATAAAATGGCAATGCAGAAAGCAACTCGATGCGAGTTGCTTCTACGTTATTGGGTAACAAGTTGGATAGGTCTCCGTATGATAAAGAAAAAAGAAACGTAAAGAAACTTAAATCCTACGGTGGGGGTAACGTTTCTTTAAAAAGAAAAAAAAATATATAATGGACTTCCGCAAAGTAACGCCTGATTCTATTAATTATCTTACAAGTAATTCTTATTGAAAGTCTTTTTTAGGGCTCCGTACCCGATAGGTAACCAGCGGGACCCTATTACTAATCCTCCACTGTCCATCCATCCGTCGATCCGTCGGTCTGTCTGTCAGCGGGCAGTGTGTCATGATCCGTAATAGCTAGACAGTTAAAATTTTGACAGAATGTGTATTTGTGTTGCCGTATGATAACAAATAATAAAAGTAAAAATAAGTTAAATGGGGCTCCTCTACTATAAACGTGTATTACCATGGTACGGAATCCTTCCTGCGCGAGTTTGACTCGCACTTGGCAATTTATTTCCAAATGTGGAGTTCTGAGTGTGAAAAAGAAGTCAAATTTTTAACACTATGATGTTTGGAATAAGTCCTTACTATTCAAGAGCAAAACTGACGTTTTATTTTTATTTATTTAGTTTTAATAGATTTTTTTTTAGTCTCCTCGCCTCTATTTATTGTTTGTACAAGCTAAGAAAAATGTCATTTGCAGATACGTTATGTTACTGCGACGAGTTCTGCAATCGAACCCGAGCTCACGACGACTGCTGCCCGGACTACGAGCCCGTTTGCTTAGGAACGTCACCCGGGGCGCTCATGCTGCCTTGCATGCATAACGGAAAGAGCTATTTGCCCGAGCAAACCAGGACCGAGGATTGTAATTTATGGTAAGTTTTTCTTTAAATTTTATAACTGGCCAGTTTATACATAAATCAGCCATGCTTAAGGGCTAAATGCTAGCCGTAGGTAAATAGTACGCGAACTTGCTCGATCCCCGCCGGTACTAATGAAATTGTTATTTGTAATTTTAAGTACTATATTGCCACGTAGTCGGGAATGAAGATAAAGATCGTGAAGAAACCTGCATGTTTGATGAATAAAAATGTTTCGAGCACATGTGAACTCCGCCAACACTAAAGTACAAGTAACGGTTTTCTAGTTCGGATGGCAGAAAATCAAAGGACCCGGTTTCTTAGCTCACGCTTATTTCTTGTTTTTTTTAAGAATTTCACATCATCAAAGAAGAAAGGACGACAAATCTTTCCTTTTTAGCCGACTTCAAAAAGGAGGAGGTATTCAATTCGAATGTATTGTTTTTCATGTGTCTTCTTCTTCTTCTTCTTCTACCTAGCGTTTATCCCGGTTGCTCATCCCGCCCAGCGCGGGAGAACCCAGGGTCCGCTTTCCAACACTTCCTCCTCCACTTTGGTCGGTCTTCGGCGTCCCTCACAACTAGCCCATTGGCGCGCATGTCATCCTGCACGACATCAAGCCAGCGTTTCTTGGGCCGTCCTCTACTCCTGGTACCAGGTAAGGTCATGTCCAGGCATTTGTTTCCCACGTAGCTTGCTGGTCGTCGTAAGACGTGGCCGTACCAGCGGAGGCGACTTTCCTGCAGCTTGTCAGCAATGTCACGGACATGGAGGCTGCCGCGGATGTATGTATTCCGTACACGGTCTTTCCGCGTGACGCCACACATCCACCGCAGCATGTTCATCTCCGTGACATGCAACAACTGCCGGTGTCGCTCCAGCACCGGCCACGCCTCACTGCCGTACGTAAGGACAGGCCTTATGATGGCCTTATAGACCTGTCCCTTCAGCTTGACCGGCATTTTGGGGTCACAAATGATACCCGTCACCTCGCGCCATTTCGCCCAAGCCGCTGATATACGGGCCTTGATGTCGCGATCGATGTCACCGGACGCATCAAGCACAGATCCGAGGTACCTGAAGTAGTCCGTGCGCTCAACGGTGTCGTCGCCTATACGGAGAGACGTCAGATCTGTGCTGTTGCAGGCCATATACTCCGTCTTCGCCACGTTTAGCTTCAGCCCGCCGTTCTCAAGCGCCTCCCTCCATGCGTGCACGCGTCTGGTGAGCCGTCCTTTGTCCCCATCTACCAGTGCGATATCATCAGCGTACATAAGCAGCCAAGGCTGCGGCAGTTTCTGTACGCTGGCTGACAGTTCGTTATTGTTTTTCATGTGTGTCACCTCATAACTTTTTTCTAGGTGAACCGATTTTGATAATTCTTATTCTATTTGAAAGCTGGTGCTTCTCATGTGGTCACATATAAATTTGATCAAGGTCTGACTGAAGATTTTTGAGTTATCCTTAATAATTTCTATTGAAGTCGGTTGTACAAAATAAAAATAAAAATTATTTTACCTCTTGTTTAACACGCGCTTATTAGCTTGACCTGTATTGAAATTTTTAAATTTCATCATTTTATTCGGCCGTTTGAATAATCTGAAAATTTGCAAACGTATTAAAAACTGATGACAGTACAATAATTTCCAGACTTTGACCTAGTATTCTCATTAGGAATATATCAGTTCATGATTAATACGTGATGTTTTATTGAAATGAAAACTTTTTAGAATCGTTGTCATTCGAAACACGATGAAACGAAAAAGCGACTCTAAAAAGAGACAAACATATAACATTAGCATACGTGAGAAAGAAATAGAATACAGTATACAGTGTTTCCTATTACCTGGTCTCTTTTCCCTCAAGGTTTCACTTTTACCGCGTGTGAACTACACACATGTTATTTTTAACTCTAATTTTATTTAATTTTTTATCGAAGAACGACCAAACACAAACAGTCCACCTGAAGGTAAGTGGATGCTGTGGCCCACAGATAGATGTCTGTGCTTTTCGATTGAGAATCAAACTACGGATGCGTTAGTATTAGTAGTAGCTAGTATGCGTTAAAATGTCGTTTGCAGTAGAAAGGCTTTTGTACACTCACCATACGAAAGATATCAGAATTAGGCTGCTTTTATATTTCAATCTGATAAACACACACTGCGTTATACATTTATCTGTTAAATATACAACAAAATTCCTAACAAAAATATCCTTAAATCAACAAAACAAAGCTCTTTTACTGATCAAACGTCTGTTTTATCTATATAAATATAATTTAAATTTAAAAAATTTGTACTGCCGACTTCAATATAAGTTATTAAGAATAACTCAAAAAGAATTGGTCTGACCTTGATCAAATACATATTGGACCACACGAGAAGTACCAGCTTTCAAATAAAAAAAGAATCATCGAAATCGGTTCACCCAGTAAAAAGTTATGAGGTAACACACATAAAAAAAAACACAGTCGAATTGAGTACCGTCTCCTTTTTGTAAGTCGGCAGAAAATGAAAGAGGCTTGCAGTTGTGCGCGTATCACGGAAAAACGACTGGATAGATTTCAATTAGGTGTTCTAAGTTTTATTTCTTAGACACTTGGACCTTATCTAAAAAAAATAGCGGGATATCTTCATGTTCATTTAATATAAAGTTATTAAACTTTTTAGTAAGCAAAGTAAATTTTTGCTTGCGATCTTTTTGATGCTTTACTTCGCACATACGAACACTTTGTTAATACATCAAGCAACGCGGACCAAATCGCGGGTATTAGCTAGTTGAAAATAAAACTGAAATTTGATCGTAGATGCCTTTATAATTAATTACGATGTAAAATGTTGATTCACTTAATGTTCAACGGTGAAGAGAAACATCGCGAGAAAAAATAAACAAACCTTTTACAAATTAAGATCCCGTTACTGAGTTTAAAAATAAAAATAACTCGTCATGATGTGCATATAATTACTCATAACGCGCTCCGCGTTAGACACTTGTAAATTTGTAATTATAAAGCGCCGTTACGAAATGCAGTCACATTAAAATACTTCTACATGATTAATGAGATCTGAAACCAGGGTTACCATCTATTTGGACACAATAACTAACCAGATACGCCTAAAAAGAAATCGCCAGAGAAAAAGCCAGCATAATAACAGGCTGTGAGGTATTTCTTCTTAGCTTTCAGTCCTTTTTAACCGACTTTAATAAGGTGGTGTTACTCGATTCGAGTGTATGTTCTTTTTTGTATGTATGTTACGTAATATCTTCGAAGATAGTGAATCGATTTTAATGATTTTTTTAAATTAAATAGGTTTTACCTCAAAGGTGGTCCTATTAAATTTTGAAGAGGAATTCCTCCCCAAGTGTGGAAAGTAATGAAAAAAGTTTCTTACGTGGTAGAGCCATGCTGCAGCTATATTACTTGTATAGTGTAGATCTATTAAAACCCGCGATAAAGAACATATAACTGACTTAAGCACTGACGTTCCGGGAAGTCTGCAGTGTGTGGACATGTTCTAGATCGTCCCCGCCATTATATTAGATTTGATAGACCACAAATCCTCACAAAAGAACACCGATTCCTATCAAGGATGATTCGCGAGGCTATTGAAATTAAAAAAAAAAACATAGAATGAAAAAAGAAAAGAGAAAAAAAGAATAGAGAAGATAGATGGATGCTGCCATCTGCTTGGGATCCTATAAATAATAAAATTAAATCCAAACCCAAGCATACCACTGCAAGACTTCAAGATACTGTAAGCTCATTCTGCGTAGATCGGACCAAAAATTAATAGTCAAAAACTGAATGTAGCCGGGCTAACTATGACATCGGGACGTCAAACACCTTAGTCCCCCCTCGCGACCATGGGTGCTGTAAAGCACCCGAAATGTCGGGAATTAAAAAGTTAAACGCCATAAAATCCGTAAAAATTAGTTTCCTTTAACATTCCATCTCAGTCCTCAGGGGTGACAACGCATCTGCATTTTGATTTGTAATCGAGGATAGATATAAATGTCTATGGGCCACAGCAGTCACTTGCTATCGGGTGGACTGTGTGCTCGTTTGTCACCCTTATCCTATAAAAAGTGGACTATTGTTTAAGGAATTTCATATGGTGTCTTCGCAGAATGAGAACCGATTTTAATTATTCGTTTATAATTAAATAGGTTTTACTTTTACATCTATCCACTATTAAGAATCAAAATGCAGATGCGTTGTTAACTGTGAGGACTAAAATGGAATGCCTTGTTTCCTATATGATTCTAGATACATCATATAACACAGCAGCATTATGCTGTTATTTCACGCTGGTATTTTATTGCTGACTGAGAGCATGGTCCTTCCACGGTTGAGCCGACCCATTCGTGCTACAACTACGAGTATCATATACCTACAGCATGGCTCTATCACGTAAAGTGTGCTCGTTTGTCACCCTTATTCTATAAAAAAAAATATTTTATATAAAAATGCTGGCTACTGGGTCAGTGAGTGTTAGGTAATTCGAATAGGTAAGTTGAAGTGAGTTTTCGGTTTAGATATATTTTGGTGGTCACCTTTTCTCTTACATTGATACAATAAAAAGAACACTAATATATTTGTTAAACGATAGAAGAGCGAAATTTGTTTTTCGTCGTTCTAGTATCACTAAACGGCTGGCCACCGTAACTCTGACCCATTTCCACAACCGTTTCAGCACTAGACACTAAGAAGCGAGGAATGTCAAGGCCGCCTCACCTTTGTTCTGGCAACACTTCTGCTTCTATAGATATTAACACTATCAATTAAAAACTTAGAATCGAATCAATGTATCGATCGTTTAGTTTGTCTGAAGGGTAATTAGTACATTTTAACATTTACTAATGAGACATTGACGGCGAAATCCGACCCTAAATTATTAACCCGTACCATTCTTCTTTTATACGTGGTAGACCCATGCTGCTATCTATATTAGTAGTATAGTTGTAGCACAAATGGGTCGGCTCGATCGGGGAAGGACCACGCTCTCACAGAATAC